ACCCGGGCCCTCGGGCTGTGCCCCAGCGATCTTTCCCAGCTTACTCGGGGCCACCAGGGGCTGGGTGGAAGTCGGCCAGGGGAAGATGTTGGGTGACATCGTCATCAGGTGCCAGGGATGGCCCCGAGAGTAGCAGTGTTTGGCGTTGGTTTAAAATGGCACCCGAGCCCCGCCAGAGGGCGGGCGGGGAGGGGGGAGAGCCTGGAGAGAGAGGAAGCCAGGGAAGCCCCCAGACAGACAACAGAGCAAGCCGAGGACTGCCAAGGGAAGGAGGAAGTGGCCCAAGACTGGGACGGGCGAAGGAGAACCCAAACCCTGAGGATGGCGAGTTAAGGGGAATTCCCCACCAACCAGACAGCAAACCCTCTTCGCTGTCTTTAGGGTCCTGGGCTAGGACCCGGAGTGGGGGTGGGCCTGAGTCCCCTCCTCCTCTGCAGTGCATAAGGCCAAACAAGTCCCGCAGTTCAGGGGTAGACTTGTAAGAATCCGGGGAACTGTTAGACTAAGGGATCGGGAAAGGGGGAAGCACAGGATTTGGGGGGAAAAGGACGAGCACGCGGGGGCAGGTTGACCCCGATGATGACAGGGCTGTAAGCCTGAGGGGGAGCCCGTCGCGTAACAGGGACCCATTTTGACAATTCAAGATGACTTGGTGACGCAGGGCAATTAATAAAAATGTGTGAATGGCTCCTTAAGAGCCACCTGGCAACCCTTTTGAAATGTAATGGCGACCCATATTTGGGTCTCGACCCATAGGCTGGGAAACACTGAGTTAGTGACATTACAGACAAATAGTAAGAAAAACTCACTTCTTTTCTCCTTTTTCTTAAATTTTCCTTTCTTCTTCCCATGCTCCTTTTCATCATCAGACACTATATCTGGAGGCTCATGTAAGTTATCATGAGGTGGAGAAGGTTCACCAGTCCGGTACAATCCAGGGAATTTTGTAGGGCTGATTTCTTCAGAGCTGGGAGTACGGGCAAGAACCCCACTATGCTCCACTCTGCGATGTTCACTGGGGCTGCTGGTAGGAGGCAGGAAGCACTCAGTCATTCTGATTCCTTGACACAAAATGAAAATCTGTCACCTGTCCATCACACCTACAATAGAAAAAACAATATTTTTAAACATTTAATTCCTAATATACCCATCCTACAATAGCAATAGTAATATTTATTATAATGAGACAGTCAACGGGATTACTCATGGTACTACAGTCAGTACTAAGGCCAGGTCTACACTGGTGGAGAAAATTGATGCAAGATACACAACTCCAACTACGTGAATTGTGTAGCTGCAGACTACGTATCTTGCACTGATTTTCTGGGGCAGCCCCACAGTGGGAGGTCAGTGGGAGAAACTCTGTCAACTTTGCTTACTCCTCATGACTGCAAGGAGTTCTGGGGTTGATGGGGGTACCCTCAGCGTTCAATTTAGCGGGTCCTTATTAGCCCCACTGAGTCTCAATCTATTTCCCTGCCCAGCCAGTTTCCTTCTAGTATCCTTCCTCATCAGCTTTTAGTCTTCCCAAACCTACTGATTCCCAGGCTCAGTCTACCTTTGTCAGATCCCAATTCCCATTCTCAATTCACCAGCAGCCATACTGCCAGACTTCTCCCACCAGACCCAAGCTCCTTGTCCTAATCTACTCTCTTTTCCCCTCTAAAGGTCCACTTCTTGCTCCCTCTGCATTTTGATCAGTCAGGTTCCCCCTCCACACTGCCTTGGGGGTCATCAACAGTGTAAAAAAAAGTCAGACAGCAGAGGCTGATTACGGTTTTGTGGAGCCGTGAGCGAAAACAAGTAGGGGCCTCGCCTCCTCCACCCTTTCTGCCCCACAGCCACTCCTACTGGGAGTATGGTGGGGGCTTGCCCTCAGGAATTACACTGCTTCCAGGGAGCAGGGTTGGGGCATGGAGGCTTCCCCAGTTCCCTGGCAAGTGTGTCAGACTGAAGAAGGAAACCCCACACCTTGACCCCATTGTGCTAATTGGGTCAGGATGTGGGGGCGCCCATTTTCCTGGAGCTTCCAGACACAGGCTCTGTTAGCCTAGTGGCTAATTCACTACTGATGGTCAGCATAAGAGAGTCTCCCTGCTCACAGGTCAGGCTCAACATGATCCACAGCATCCCACAGCTGCCCTGCATGGATAGAATCTTTGAGAAAATTAGCTGCTCAAATGTATGGGCTTGTCTACAGGACCCTGCCACACAGCCAATGAAGGTGTGAGCTGTAATGTGCACTTACAAGCCTGTGTCTCTTTTCTAACCACACCAGACACACTTTCAGCTTAGAAAGCTTCTTTATGTTGAGCTAGTCCCATGCCTATGTCCCAATTACAATGGGGCAAATGAAAAGAAGTGATTGTACCCTTGGCTGCTATTCTTCAGAACAACTGCTATGCAGAGAGACGCAGATAAGAATTTCTACTATAGTGGCATTCTGCAGGTCTACATCAGAAGTACTGCATGCAGGCCCAAAACATAATGTGTTTTCTCCGTAATCTCCCAAATTCTAAATGTAACAAAACAGAATGCTAGAAACTAAGATGTCAACAGATTGTGACAAAATGGGAGTGCTTTCCTAGGCTACCAACCACCCTGATATAACTTATGACAGTTACACAAAAATCAAAAGCCAGGTACTAATTTTAGCCATAGGTCAAAAAGACCAGTTCAAAATAAGGATACAGCACATCACTGTTCTTGAAATGAAAGTACTCAAATAACAAACATCAGCTTCACTTTTAACGAAACGAACATGAAGCGGGAAAAAAAACAAACCTCAAAGCACTTCAAAACCATAGGCTCTACAAGGAAGTCCTATAAAGCAAATTTTCAATTCAGGAGTGGTATCTGACCTAAGATGATACTAGTTAATTGCAAAAAAACACAAACAAAAAACCCCAAGTATCTAGTCTCTCTGTTATTTATTCAAAGGTCACTAATCTGAATTTTAGATTAATAAACTGGATTCTAAAATGCTCTCAAGAGCTATCTTGGAGAAGCCTGTAATTTTTCTGCCCTGATCTCCCAGCTTGCTGACCTGCAATAAGAGCGAGAGGTAATGCAAGCTTAGATTTCACAAGTCAGCATAACGGCACTCATCAGATAATTCTCATGTGAATCACATATGCTTCACAATTACTGATAATTAAAGTCTTACAAAACACCCAACCTGAAATTTCACAGAAGATAAAATCTGTAGTAAATAACAGGGTTCATGCTCTCACACACATATGAAGCCCATAATGTTATCAATTTTAAACTAAAAGATTATTTTTAATTTAAAATGTGCTTATCTGCTTCAGCTTTGAACTATTAGATTAAATGCATGTATATGATCTTCAAAATAATACTAGCCCCAGACTGGTTTTATTAGTATGATATACAAAATGTGTATTAAAAATGACTAAGTCTGAAAGACAAAAATCCATTAAATTAGGAAATGCCAGAACTAAAGTAACCTGTGCAATCTTAACTGAGTCCTTCTATATGTGTGCATTACGATATAGTTTTTAATTAAATGATCATATACTTTTTTCCACTGATCCCCAGCTTCATTTGGGAACAGCTATTCAATAATTTGATTTCTCCTCGTTCACTGTGTGACTCCATTCCTTATTTACTGCATGTTACTCAAATCCTGCTTTGAAGTCAGAACTAGTAACTTCCTCAAGAGGTTTTCTATAGATCTCATCATAGTATCTGAGTGCTTCACAATTATTAATAATTTATTTTCACAATATTCCTGCAAGATAAGAGGGTGATATTATCCATATTTTACTGATGGAGGCATTGATTAAAGCACAGAGAGATTAAGGTCAAATGTATTCCCTAATTGTGGGTGCCCAATTTGAGACACTTAGTCCTGACTGTTCACAAATATTAGAATTATATAGCACTTTGAACAAATCCATAAAGTACATTTTATTTACTTTAGCTGTGAACAGTGTTCACTGTAAGCTGAGCATTTGGGTAGCCATCAAGGAGAGATTCATATGCTGCACAGTTGATTGACGGAGGGCACATGCATACATGCCTCGGTGCAAATATCAAAACGTATTCCGTATGAGTGGAAAAAATTAGAGGGAACACTGGCTGACAGTGCTCATTCTTTCGGCAAGTAAGGCCCACCAACCCTCATGTCAGGCAGGCACTCAGAAATAACTAGCAATCACCAGTGAACAGTATGTTCTAAATTAGTATTTCCTCATGAGCATGCCATCAGGCCTGAACAGACATGCTGCAGAATTTTCTTAAAAACTACATGTGAGAACAAAGGAGGGCGGGGAAGAAGCTGCCTTCAGACTGGTCATCAGCTTCACTTCCTCCAGAGATGGAGAAACTACTCAGAGTTCAATTTTCTCATGCAAGAGGAACAAGTACAGGCAGAACCTTGAAGGAAGAGGCAGAGGAGGAGGGAACAGGAAAAGAAGTGAAAAACAGCAACACAAGCTGCAGGCTGCAGCACCAGCTCTGGCTTCTTGCTGGGTGAAGGGGAGCAGGAGAGGCGCATGCCTGAGTCCCAGGGACTGCCTCCTGCTTCAGGAGGAGGTGGGGCTGGGTGGCTGGCACATGTGGAGTGCCAAGGCCCAGGCTATTCCTCATGGGTTATGCGCAGGGGAGGAGAGCCCCTCCCCCAGCACCCTGCTTCACCTGGTCAGGCGGGAGCCAGACCTGGGCAACCCTGGCTCTGCCTGGCCCAGTCCCAGAGCCAAAGCCTGTAGGCAAAGGGTTGGGGCAGGCAGGGAAGAGACTCTGCCCCCTCCACTTGCCCCACAGCAATAGTTTTAAGAAAAACTAAACACTTGCAAGGCAGTAAAGTGCTAATGAAGTTAATTTACATGCAATTTATACACAAATAGCATTGATGCAAATATTCACATTCAACATCTCACTTAACAACCTTAGTTAAGCTAGTACCCCAGCACTACTCCTGGGAGGCTGCAAGTCCCAGCCCTGCTGCCCTGCCCGTAAGTGCCTGGGGACAGAGGAGGGGCAAAGGAGGATGCGGGGGGCAGGGAGGTTTGCAGAAGCTGCATTTTTCTTTACTCTCCACTTCTTTGTCTCCCTCTCCAACTAGCTATTTGGCTAGCTAGCTAGTCTCACCTTTTCTTCATTACTCTCCAACCCCTCATACTCCCAAACTCCCTCTTGTACCCCCACCCCACACTCTCTCCCACCACCAAACTCCCTTCCAGACCCTGCCCTCTTCACCCCATACTGCACCCCATCTCCGGCCCATATCCTTCATCCATATCCCACTCACTGACAACCCTGTCCCACACACTGAACCCCTCATTTTTGTTCCCACATCAGAGCCTAAGGGAGTCCACAAAATCCACTAACTCTGGAAACCCAGAAAATTTGGCCTATGGAAAGCCCTGAACCTCAGTCTTCCCTGTCCCTTCCCCTCACCCACTGGGGCTGGAGTGCCAGAAGAGTGAGGTGTCTGAGTTGGGAGCTACATCAGCGGGGGCTGGAGGTTTTGGGAGGAATTTATTTGCTTCTCACTTGTGTGGTCCCCAACTGATTTTTCTGTGGGTCAGTGGCCCCCAACCCAAAAAAACATTCCCTATCCCTGCCAAAAATAAAGAAAACCTGTGAACTTTTGTGTTGGACACAGTATTTTACTTTATTTAAAATAAAGTTTGATAAACTAACATGAAAAAGTTAAAATCCTTAATTTGTTTAATAATTTAATTTAAACCATTCTCCCTAGCTGCAGCACTAGCAAAATGGCTTGGACATAATTATGTAATTAATGGTGAGTTTCCATTAGTAATTGGCAGTCCGCAGAAAGGTTTGCATTGACCCAGGTGGTCCGCGGGGCGTGCTATGGAGAGAGCCACTCCCCGCCCAGGAAGAGTGGCATGGTGCAGTGCAGGAGGCTTAAATCTTGGAAAGGTTGCTGACTCCTGCTCTATATCAGGGATCTGCAACCACTTCAAACAAAAGAGCCGAACTACATCAAAATTCAGAACAAGTGGTCAACAAAGAGCTGTATAAGAATTTCCATTTGCATGACTGAAAATATACAGCTTAATATTATTGATGATTAATAATAGCATAAATTAAACGTACTCACAGACTTTAT